GTGAAGCAATAGTAAGCAGTCAATAAGTAGTCTCTGCCCATCTCCCTGATGGGACTTCATGACAGCAGAGATTTTATATCTTTTTGTGTCCCTAGATCTGTAGACCAAATTGGAGGCTCAGCTTATTTGTTACTTTTCTGATTTCCCTTTTCTTTTCCCTAAAGAGAGGGCATCTGCAAGACGAGTGCATCTCATGTAGTGTTCATAAAGATCTACAATTCAGAGTTGTTTTCGCTAACTATTCAGTTCCACCCTGTGGCATGTACTGGGGATTTATTTTTGACAAAGTCATCTTTTAGGAATTCGTTTCAGTTTTACATAGTATTAGCCACTAACTAAACAGGCCAACTTCCCCATCTCCAGCTTTCACTCCCCACCTCCTTGGCCCCGGGCCTGTGGAACCCACCTTGCCATACACGCTCTGGTGACTGTGCAGTCTCCATGCCCTGGGAGAAGCCAGGGCAAGGCAGGCCCAGATGGCCACCTCACAATCTAATAGAAATGGCACCAAGCTTTATAGATTTTTTTTTTTCACAACCTGATTTCTAAATATATTTGCCTTTGATGAACAGATCTAATCTGCTCCTTTCTTATATTGCTGCTCCTTTCTTATATTGCTTTCTCCCTCCTTTTTAATTCCAACCTCTACTTTCTTTTCCAACTTATCTCCACCTTTTCCTTCATATTCAGCCTCTATGTGAAGTTTCTCTAACTTGCCCTTTGAGAACTGTTTACACATGGGTATGAACAGATCGAATAAACAGGAACTTAGGTTAATTTAATAGAAAAAATAAAATATGGAATAACATTGATTTTGGCCAGTATCAATTACAACCATTCTACTATATTTTACAAAAAAACAACTGAACATTTTACACATGTACAGTATTTTTCAGTAAAAGTGGATCTGGATTTAACAATGGATCACTAATTAAAAGACAAAAGAAAACAGAAGATAGGACTTTTGTCTCTAGGTTAGAGCATTTGTTAAGTCTCCAAACTTTGTACTATGCATTACATATCTCATTATGAATATATATATATTTATACATAATATATAACATTAACTTAAACTTTGAAAGCATTATGTTCTAGTTAATAATCTGTAGATAACGAGGCAATAACACCCTAGTAGTTAAACCAGTATTTCCAGGAAGTGCGCCTGCATGGTCGATGGGAAAAGGAACATATTGGTGGACCCCCATGAACTTGGCTGTCACCTTGAAGGGTATTTGTCGAAAAACACAGATCTCATTTTTATCTTTCCTCTTATAGTAACTTTCTGCCTCTAGTATTATGGGCTGTTGCAGTTAAATGGATTCCTTTGCTGGCAATTCTGGTTTCGCCATCTGCTTGGTCTTGCTTAAGCTAGCGCTTTCATTTGTCCATTTAAAAGAATGCCTTTAAATAGGTAAGACTATATTCTGTACCCAGGGTTAACTGTGTTTTTTTTTTTTTCCAGGTCTGAAGGGTCTACTCTATTATGAAGAGAAAAATTGCTCAGCAAAATCAGTTGATACCCTAGATACTTATGAATCCTTACGTGAATTATTCTCACTACAATGCTGTGAAGAGGGTCATTAGACTTACAATAATTCACCTTGGGTTGGATGTTAACTTTAATCTCTTGGAATGTATGTTTTCAAGGTAGGCATTTTAATTAGCTTGCTGCTTGGATGGGACCATAGCATCTACTTCCTAGCTCCTTCCTAGGATAATTTCTGTTGATATAATTCCTCTTCCTTAGCTGTAGAGCCAATGATATCTTGGAAGTGAGGCTCTCATTTCAGAGGCATAATTCCTATAAGATGGCTGGTGATTCGCAGAGCAAATGAGGTCACCAATGGAGCTTTAATGTGAAATTAGAAGAAATGGTATCAATCTATCCTCCCCTAAATAGAGAAAATCAGAATTGGTAAAATGATCTACCAGACTTCCTCATTTCTGTCCACTGATCCAAAACAGGTTTTGTATAATTCAGTCTGCTAGGTTCAGCCTGCATTTAGGGAGTCATAGAAAATCAGTGAAGATATTTCCAAGAAACAGACGATCTCAAGGACATGACATTCAGTGGACAGGTGTATCATAAGTACAGTTATAAAGGGACAGAGGAATGGGAAAATAAAAGAACCAGGAGGGTACAATCATGCCGCCCATATTCAATTTCCAGTTTTATTTTCTTAATAAGCACCATTGAAAAACATTGCCCGGCCAACTTAGGCACAAGCTTAAATATTATTTAAATAAATGCCATTTCTTAAAAAATACAGGACCTTTTAGAAACTTTTGACTCCAGGAAGAAATCTCCTGTATCATATTCAAAATGCTCTCCATCACAGTAAGTGGAATTTCTGATGGTCTTAAAAAATGGTATGGGGGTAATGGCTAGATAGCACCAGGAGATTGTGCAGGGTCTACAAAGCGAACACTCTGGGTTTTGAGGGAGCTGGATCAGTCTCAGCTATTTTGAGTAACTTTACATTCTGTCCATCACCATTTTGACTATGCAGAGCAATCCCGTTTGACCACCCATGTGTAAGAAAAACCAATCTACAATGGAAACGCCAGTAGCAGCAAGTCTATCCGATGAAACCAGTGGAGCAGACTTATCAAGTGAGTATAATGCCAAACCAGCACATTACATGTGGAAAGTATTGATGTTCACCTGTGAAAAACTAAGACAAATGATACTGCACACAACTCTGTGGGGTGTTCTTCATGCCCTTAGGTCCAGTTTTCTGCCATTTCCCCAACAGTGAACTCAAACATGAAAAATGACTGATGCAAGAGCTTTCTGTTTCATTTTGATCTATGTCTACTCCTGTGATGTTTTTGAAAAGTATTTTTAGGTGTCTCAAAGGGGAAACAAGCAAGTAAATGTAAAAGGAAAAAAATGGACCTTCAAAACCAGGGCAGGAAATCAAATCATTACTTTAACGTCAAATTTTGGCATCAAATGCTTTGGTCATACAATACTGTCTCTGTGGTTCTGGCTGTTTAGTACTAAACACCCAGTTATAAAAGGTAGGCTTGTTGTAGGTTTATTTTTTTTTTTCCATTTAAGTTCTGACAAAACAGTTCACCATCTCCCTGCACAAATTTGAGAGGGAAAAAAAAAGAGAGCAAGAAAGAGAGAGGTGGCTTGCTTTTTTTTTTTTTTTTTTTTTGCTTGGTTTTTTTTTTTTCTTTTTAATAATAATATGGAGTAATCTATAAGTCTACAGGAACAAAGAAATCTAGGATGGCAGCTCAGCCTTGGAATGTACATGTTTTGCAGCAAAGTTGTTGAAGAACCTTCCGTTGGCACAGATTGTTCTTTTTCACTAGCATACAGAAGCCTCCTTCGGCCCAGGACTCTTCCGTTGCTTTTCCAGGAAGTCAGCAAGAGAGAGAGGGAGTTGAGGACGAGAGCAGCATGATGTACACACATGGAAGAAGTGTTTGATTGGCCAGAGAGGCAGGTTGGGGGATTGGAAGAGATCATTCAGGAGCAGTCAACAGGAGGAAATTTGGTCCACCCAAAGTGATTTCAGTCAACAGCATTGTTTTTCAGGGAGAGAGATTGCAGTCCAATGGTAAATGTGATTGATATCCATTTATGAAAGGAAAAAAAGATTAGAAAAAGAATTAGAAATCAATAATACAAGCACGGAATTTTTCTTTTTAGAATTACCCAGAACAGAGTATACAGTCATTTATACTATTTCACTGAATCTAAGACATCACCATTTAAAGTACTACGGAGAAAAAGTGATTCTTACTATGCTTATGAAAGTAATATAGAATAGGTTGCTTTGTTTGTGTGGATGAGAACAGTACTTTAGTTATTGAAGCTCTTTTGGACTGTAATTTAACACAACTAGTAACCAGGTACCTAATTCAGTTGACAGTAACTCGTAGACACTATGTCACAGCAACCTGCTGGTCCAAAGCAGTAAACTGCCATGAATTATAAGATGCATCTGATTTTGGAGGTGTTAAGTATGTCTTAGAATCACTGAAATATGACAGGAGAAAATAAATAGCATATCCCTCAGTGCCATTGTCATATGATTGGAAGGCTAGGGAGCCATCCATCATCTTTAAATGACCTCAAAATGGACTCGTTGCAAATTAGGGTTCTTCATGTTTGCCTACAATCCTGGCCCTCCACTTTCACCAAAGTGCCTTTTGCCATAATTTTCCCCCTGGTTTAGGGAAAGCAGTAATGTAGCACAGAGCTTCAGATGGCTGTCACCAAGGGCCATGAGTGATAATTGAAGTCACAGTGGATCTCTGGCAGAAATCACTCAAATCCACCTTGGTTTTCAGGTTACTAACTTACAAAAACATCTGGTCATATTCAGGTATAGGTGAACCATATTTTTAAGTAAGGACAGGGAGCACATTCTGGTAATGTAAAAGCAGTACTTACAAGGTCCCTGGTGTGCTTCCACCCTAATCCTCTCACCCCAGTGCTGTGTGGTGAGAAATGGCTCTGGCTCAGCCCTGTCAGACCAATGCCACATCGGAAAAGCTATGAAGATGCAAAGCCACCTATGATGCTCTGTGGACACGAGGCCATCATGATCTATCCATGTCATCATATGCTCAGTTTTTTGTTTTTTTTTGAGATTTATAAGAGGAGTTGTAGAATAACCACACAAGGTCGCTAACAGTATCCTCATTTTTTTCAGACGAGGGAGGTGAGACGTTCATAACCTGCCCAGGTCTGGAACCCAGGTATGAATGACATTGTCCCACTATAGCACTACTGTCTTTTGTGAACTTTCTAGAGGAGGCACCATCAAAGGAAAGGGAAAAATAAACTCAAGGGAATGATCTGATATTTTTCACTTTTCCTAACAATACAAAGCTGTTTAGAAAAACCATGGTTCAAAACAGTTTCTTTCTATATTCTAGAAATATAGTGTCGCCATATAATTTAGGCACAAATTTTATATCTTAAAGTAGACAGCTCACCCTTTGTTTAGAAGATTGCAACAAGGAGTTGTACTCACCGTCCTTGCAGATGGCTCCCATCTGACACATTCCTAAGTCTAAGAGATATCCACTAGGGCAGCTGGTACAGTTCCTGAACCCGGGACCGTTGCACGTCAAGCAGCTGGCCTCACATCTGCGGTGAAAAGGTACAACTTATCATCCCTTCATACCTTAGGCAGGGGGAAAGTTATGTTTGCAATCAAGCTCTTAATGTCTTAAATAGAAATTCTCCCTTTGAAAAATGATGCAAAAAATACCTTTGTATCATAATTGATGGTTTTGACAGCATTAAGGAAAAGCTAGCAGGTAGCTCTTTGACTTTAATGAGGAGATAATAAGTTTTTGACTCACAAATATTGAAAGTGCTGGTGAGGAAGAAGAATATATATAAAAGGTAGCTGGGTTAAAGCTGCAGGGCAGGGGGCACTGTCGGCAGATGCATATTTGAAGCTTGTCTTGTGTTGTTTATGAAGGCAGTCATATGAGGAACCCCATAAGCAAGAGCCGGGCTTAAGGGGCAGATCCACTTACTTTTTGCAGGATTTGTAACCATTCTCTGAAGAGTGGTCAAAGTAATAGCTGGTACTACAGCTCTGCACGCATCTCCCCTCCTCCATGAAGTAACCCTCTGTGCAGTTAATGCAGCCGTCAGCACCTGCCCCTGGAAAGCCAGACACACACAGAAACAGCCTCAGAAGCAACACATGATGGGCTGTTCTAGCGTAGTTTGTGAAAATGGCCTTAGTAGGCTATAATGTTGGGTCATAATGTGCTGCTGCTTACATTCTTTGCAAAAATATTCCCATTTAAAATTGAACCCCCTTGCCAAAAAAACAAAACAATGACAAAAAAACCTCTTTGGAAGGAGGAAGCGATGTCACTGGGCAATGAAGTTTCTTTTGAGGGTAGGATGTCAATAGCTGACTTTCTCTGAGAATATGGGCAGGATTATCCAAAGAGAAGCATGCTTCTCCAGCATTTACTTCAAAAATATCAAGTGAGTTTGCATGATTAATGGTTGAAAACAGGTAAACAAAAGTCAGAGTAGGACAGGATCAAGGGAAGAGGTACCAGCACAAGTGGCGCAGAAGCGGTGGCAGGGCTGGCAGTCCTGCCCGTTGAAGAACCATCCGTCCTCACAGGTGATGTAGCACCGAGATCCCTGCAGACTGAAGACAGAGACCGGTTGCTGTGATCCAGGCAAAGAGGTAATGAGTCCCCAATTCCATATGTAACAAATACAGTTCTCCCCAACACAGTGGATTTGGCAAAGCTTCAAAGCAGAGAAAACAGCCCTGTACTCTTTCCTCTCCTGATGCCTCTCTTGCTTATCTCTGCTTATAATGATGTCTGTAGCATAAACACATGCTGCAAATTTTGAAGCATTCCTCTTAACTGTTAGACTGGCTGACACATTCCTTCTTTGCTCAATGTTCTACAACCTGGAGGTTTAAAAAAGTGTTTAATGACAAAACAATCACATTACCTAACAATATGCCTCACAGTGCCTTGATATCCAGCCCGACTGCATAAAGAACTAAAAAGCTGTTCTGTAATTATAAATGCAATTGGAACACAAGGTAAAGTGAATTACAACTGAATTAAATGGGTAAAACTAGCCTTGCCAACCCCCTGGCTCACACACACAGGAGTAGTCTTTTGTTTGCAACTGTTTCTGCCTCTGGTTCCCACAACAAAACTATAACATACCTTTACCGCTCTTGATTTATTTTAAACTGCAATGAATAGTTTACCACACTTACCTACCTATACTGCTGCTTCCCCAACATCTCAGTTTTTCTCATGGATAAAATCGAAACACTATACCATATTTTCCTGTGTCTGGCTAGCACTAGTATCTGCTGATTTGAATGAGGGATGCATATTTTTCCTTCCTAATTCTGTCAGCCATGATAGCTTTGATGGTCTATAGATTGATTTTCCAAATTAAAAAGAAATCTGTAGAAATCACAACATTTAATAAACAAATATTTCTTTGTTGAATATTATTACTTGCTGAGTAAGTAAATAGTTTGGCTGGAACTATAGAGAAGGACATGTAATCCTATAGATGTCACCAGATAGATGATATTATAACAGGGTCAAATAGTTCTTAACTCTTTGTAAGTTTTAGATGTTCATCTTTAGAGCCGATATGTGTATATATAACTACATCTTCAACTCTTTCTGTTGCTTCTATATGCATCTTATTTGACTGTGCTTTATATATGGATCACACTACTTTAAAAAGTAAAATTTATTTTTTCCTATGCTGACTAAAGAATTTTGGAAAGAAAAGCAAAGTAAGTGAAAAAGAATCCCAAACAATCCTATGAGCATTTTGTTTCCAGTGTTTTATGCATAGGTATTTCATCATGTTTATTCTTAGCCACCATTTAAAAGTTTACAGATTTCTTAAGACAAAACGGTCAACTCTAGAAGGCCCTAAAACAAAAATACAGAGGGACTCCATGGGCAGTGTAACTGGGAGTATGTGCCATTCTCAGATCTTCTCAATCTTCTCACTGGCCAGAGAGATTTGTCATTTTTAAAGGTCATTAAAAAGAAAATGCCACCTTTTTTTTTTTTTTTTATAGATTTGGAAAAGGACATTGCATCTAATGGCTCCTTTTGTGAGAGGAAATAGTACCACCAAAATTATCAAAGTTTTTAAAAGGCTGCCTAGATTTTTTAATAAAGGGCATTACCTCTTAGGTTGGCATCAAGTCAGCAGGAGACAGAGGCCTCACTGTGAGGAAGGAAGGAATTAAGTGGGGCGTGCCACAGAGTGCAAGTCGCTGGAACCCTGAAGCTTTCTGCTGCATCCCAAAACTCAGGGATGGCCTGGCTAATGATGTGGTATGTGACAGCCTGGCTTCTTCTGTGATAAGCTAGTTACATTATACTGTGCTGTCCCGTGTGCTTCAGCATCCCTGGTTCTTTCATTGTGGCTGGTGAGGCCAAGGAATGACATTTGAAATTTTATTTAACTTGTGTATATATTGGCACATGGTTCAGGTATTGATTGTATAAAATCTATTTCAGATTTTATCAAATTTAAATACTGATCAAGCATTTCTCCAAAAATCATCCACACTGAGATGTGCTTTCTGGGTAAAACATGCACCAGATTTGAAAGACTTGGTACAACATAGATAACTCTTTTTTATATTGATTTCATGTTGAAATGTTATTTTGGATATAATAAGTAAAGCAAAATGTTAAAATAAATTTCACCTGCATATTTAAATTTAACATATGACTTGTTCTATTAAATCGTGCTAGGTAACATTATTAATCTTATTATTCTATCATCTGGCAATTATGTGTCAGATGATAGAATAAGTGCTTTGTAAATGTTATAGTTAAATCTTACCATAAACCCACTTTATAGATGAGACTGAAAAGCAGAGTAGCTAAGTGTCTTGGCCAAGATCACACAGCTAATGAGTGGCTGAGGATCTGAGCTCACATCTGCTCCTTCTCCAACAAGAATTAGGAGGCTGATTAGATAGATAGATTATCAAGACTGAAGTTTTAAGATAAAAGTTTTAAGATAAAAGGTGCTAGCACACTAATGCTGAAATCATTGATGATTAGGACATCATTGTTTAGATGTACTGGTTAATGTGAAAAATTGTCTGCCTGGACCTATCTTTCACTTCTGGGCAAAGGATCAAATGCAGAATTCCAGTTTTATCTAAAACAGGGAGGGCGACTCCTCACTCACATAGGATGGTCTGACCTTCCACATGAATATCAAGAAGCCCCCTAGTTAATTTGAGTTGCATTTTGTTCTCTTACAGAGTCTATCAACAATCTTGTTTTAGCAATGAGTAAGGCATCCATTCAGGAAGACATCTCCTGTAAAATCTATGCGCATACCATTAACATAATGGAGCCATGCCTGGGGTACTTAAGAGAATGATTAGCTATATGGAGAGAAATAAAGGATGAGTTTCTGACCATCAAAGGAATGACTCAGCAAGGTTAAATATAATTTATTGGCATTAACTACACAGGACTCCTTGACAGGCACATTGCTGTCCAAAAAGTAAAGTCAAGTCTCTCCAATGGCCATTTTTACTTGTATCTGAGCCATATTTAAAGATAATTCCTTGGTTTATAAACCTTCCTTAACCAAGAGGGCATCCAATTTTTCACATAGAGTGGTACAGCTAATGCAAATAGCAATCAAATGTTTGAGAGTCAAAGCAAGGATAGACAGTAAGAGGTTTGTTTGCTTACATGTTTTTCCCCCTTCATTTATATTGAGAAGCTCTTTGTGCTATATCACTTGAAATCCTTTTCTCTTACCTTAACCCATCTCTGCATTCTGTACAGTTGTGGAATTCAGTGCATGTCTTGCAGTTTTCACTGCATTTCCGGCAAAGGTTTTTCTCTGTGAGAAAAAAAAGTCACAGGTTATAAATTGATTGGTTGATTGCTAATGTATGCGATGGTTCATAAGAGAATTGAGCAGAAAATTGCAGGAAAAGCCTTGGACTCATGCTTGTTGTCATTTTTCAGCAAACCCAACATAGATAGGAATTATAGACTGGGAAATAAGGTATATCTCCCATGTTGCTGACAAGAAAACCACAGCCCACTTAATTGAATACTTTGACTTCTCCCCTCTTTTTCCCATTCTCTCTCTCAAAAAGAGAGATGTTAAGGTGAAACTGCTAGATGAGCTTTTAGGACTACTCATAAGCTGTACTAGAAGTGGGAATCTACATTTGTCATTGCAAGGTAAGGGTTGGTAATTTATTTTTTACATCCTCTAGAATAGTGTCTGGTACTTTATGACCGCTGTGGAATTGGCTAAACAAATACACTGAGTATTGACTTTCCCGTTTAATACCAAACACAGGTCCGCAATGGGGAGAAAGAAGGGAAATGTATGATTTTTCTGTAGTAAAAAATGGTGATTGGGCCTCCCCTGGTGGCGCAGCCGTTGAGCGCTGGGCTGCGAGGCTGCCCGCAGCCTCTGCAGCGCCAGTTCGTTCCCCGGCCTCTGGCGAGGGTCCCACAAAAAAAAAAGGTGATTTGGTGTATTACATAAGGCCTTTTATGACAGAATTTTTCGGGAGACTTTAGGTACCCATCTCTGAGATGCAAGTAAATTATAACCACATACACCTGTAGGATTGAATGAAGCTGTGTTTATGGGTTTCTCTTCCTCTACATACTCTAATTGTTGGTATCCTTCATGTTTCACGGAGAAACCTGGAGCAAGTCTGAATTCATTAGCATAAGATACAGTTGACCTTTAAACAATGGGTAGAAGTGGTGACTTTTGCACACTAGAAAATCCGCATGCAACTTAAAAGTGGCCCTTGATATCTCTGGGTTTTGCATCTATAGATTCGACCAAGTGACATTTGCAATTGGTTGAATCTGTGAATGTAGAACCCAAAGACAGAAAAAAGTCTGCAGATAAGGAAACCTACACAGTTGAAACCCATGTTGTTCAAGGGTCAACCATACAAAGTCCATCATATTCTTATGGTAGTTGGGCCATGGTCTCCCTGGAGTCAGAGGACCTAGATTTGCATTCTCCTCTTAACATGTCCAGAGAATCTCTGTTCTCTCACTTGCTAAGTAGATTTCAAAGATGCTTATGTCAATTTGTCTTGGAGTTAGTGAAATTAATTGAGAACTATATAAAGTACTGCGAACATGTTGGCAGTAATCAGTAGTCATGATCACTGTTACATGCAAACCCCACTCATCAATGGAGATAACTGTAACAAAAGGCAACTCTATAGTGACCCTCATGCCCTCTGTAATGACTTATTCAAAAGGATGCAAAGTATAATCAGCAAGGAGAAAAGGCACAATAGACAAGGTCCAGAGGAAACCAGGTAGGAGCTCCCAAGTGTCTGAACAGTGTTCCTTAATTATCACTTCCCAGACTCTGGAAAAAGAACTGATTATCTCCATTATATTGATCCTGTCATGCAATTTTCAAAAACTAAATTTCTAAGGCTCAACTTTCTTGATAACATTTTGAATTCTTTCTAGGAATGTTTATTTCTATGTATCTCATTTGTCCCGTCACTCCCATTTGTCCAACATATTCTAGATTTAAGGGGAAATGTAATTCCTATCTATTAGTCTAAAGTGTAATTTGAGAGACTCCATCTGATACATAGAGAAATGCCAACCTCTGAATTAAGAGAATATCCAGAATTCTTGCCTCATTAAAACAACAAAATCTCTTGTTCCTTTACGTTTCAGTTTCTTCTCTTAGGTTGTGTAAAATATGAAATTTTAGTGCCATCACATACCTAGGACTCAGAAACAAAGCAAAAATTTCCTACAGGCCACAGAAGAGCAGTGTGTAATGATGGCTGATTGATTAGTGCCCAGCTTCTGTGAAGTTACATTTTTAATTTACAGACTTCTTCTCGGTAAAGCTGCAAATAATTTCTGTCCACTTGAAAACAATAACTTCCCAAGTTACTGTTGCATTGTCATGTAGAAAATTATTCAATTTGCTACTGACTTTATTTTGCCTTCCCTGGTGTACCATTCATCACCAGGTATGTTCGCTAATGAATGTTTTGAATATGTCTTGACATAGACTTATTGTACACTTGCATGAAAGTTTTTTGAATTTTTGAATTGAAATTTGTATACTTTGATATACAAATCTGGTTCTTATGAGGTTGGATAATGGTTACTTTCTGTAAACTTGAATTTCAGGTTCTCATCACCCTGACTGTAAGAGTGGCTCATGGTGTCTGAACTACGTGTATAAACAATGAGGGTTATGCTGAACCCCTACTATCCTTTCAGTAGTCTGTAATCTTAGTGTTGTATGTGCCAGACCCTAACAACAACCCTGGGGAACCCTAATGGGGTTCCTTTGTGGACTACATTTCATGTATATTGTAACAAACTGTCAATGGGGAAATATATCCTGAGTGATTCCTTGAGAGCAAACACTTGGGAGCTCCTACCAGGTTTCCTCTGGACCTTGTCTATTGTGCCTTTTCTCCCTGCTGATTATACTTTGCATCCTTTTGAATAAGTCATGAGGTGTGCATGAGGGTCACTATAGACTAAATCTTGGGTGTACTCCTAACAAATCACTCACAGCTTGAGGACCCCATGGAAGTTACAATTAATTTACATGAAATTATTTACCGTTTTCTTACAAAACTAAATTATTCTCTTAAAAAAATTGGCTAGATCCTGTTTGTTAATAAGCAAAGTCTAGATTTCACAGGAAAGGAATGTTCCTTTCTAAAACCTAAATATTTGAAATCTACTCACTGGTATCCTGATAGGATCCATCAGGGCAGTGAGTCACACAGCTGTTGGTTTCTTCATTCAGGAAGTATCCATATTTACAGGACAGGCACTGGTCACCGTGGCTTCCAAAGCAGGACTCACAGTTGGGGGCACACTTTCTGCATCGCTTCTTGTCAGCGTGGTAGTGGCCAGGGGGGCAGCTCGAGACACAGATCCTGCGTGTGGAAGGAGAAGGGCGCTATCATCAGTGATTCAGTCCTGAGCATTCTATGGGAGGTGCTGAGTAAGCAGTGTCCTCCTTCGCAAAATCCCTTTTTTTTTTTTTTTTTTAATTTTTCTAGAGGCATGTCTTATTTATTTATCTATTTGTTTGTTTGTTTGGTTGGTTTATACATGCACTGGGTACAGTCAGAGCCGGGAGGGTGAGAGAATTCACCAGAGTCAGAGCAGGGAGCAGAACAGGCAGAAGGCCCAAAGTACACTGCTGAGGGGAGCAGCGGGCGGCAGGAGAGGTCTGCGCGCCATGTGGGACCCTCCTCTGGTGGCCGGGGAGCAGCCGGGGATCGAACTGGCGCCGCAGAGGCCGCGGGCAGCTTCGCAACCCAGCGCTCAACCGCTGCGCCACCTGGGAGGCCCGCAAAATCCTTTTTAAACCATGGTAATACCATATCCCAAAGTCAAATTCTGTAGGTTGAAGCTTTCGCCTGTGTCAGTGATAAAGCAGCAGTTCAGTTACACAATATATGTTCACCTATAAGGCATGTCTTGGTCCTACCTTCTTCCACTTAGATATAGGAACCATGATTTTATATGAAAAGGATAATTAATAAGGGTTACTTCTATTTTTGCACAGTATTTGCCATATGGATCCGTTGTGTGTGATAGTTATACGCTATTGTCTAATATATGCATTTATGTTACTTAGGGTAAATTTTAAAAGAATTTCCTTGTTTGCCCATAATTTAAGGAGAGGATTTTGTGTTCATTCACCAACTATTTACCAAGTGCCAATTAAATGTCAGGTGTTTTACTAAGTCCAGGATATAACAGAGGTGCTTAGATAGCCAAGGGCATTTCTTCTAAGGAATTGAAATTCCAGTATGGATGGTAATAGGAATGGGGACGTCTGTCCAGGTGAAGGCAGTGTGAATTCAAGTCAACTCCCCACTGAGTTTTTTTGCCTGAGAGAGGGAGAAGGTGGCAGGGTTGTGAGAGGCATGACTGGAGAGCGTGGGCTCAGATGAACAGTCATGTTCCACTGCCTTGAGCAGTGGACAGCTAGCTGAATAATCTGAGGTGGAAACCAGAGGTTCAGAGACTCAGGGAGCAAGCCAGGTTCACCTCAGTGCATGGAGTGGAAGAGTGAGGACAAGCAGGGACCAGCACCTTTGCTACACTGAGGCCTTGTGGGTGAGGGAGTGGGAGAAAGCACACCTGTTTGGCCTTTGCACAAGTATTTTCATGAAGAACCAATGCAGCCGTGGTATCAAATATCAATGACCTGGAACAGTCTGGTCCAGAGGGGAAGAACTTGCCCCTCCCAAAGTTTTCAGTTTCACAGTATACATACATATTGTGTCTTGTAATTTAGAAGTGGTTACTTCATTGTGAATTACAGGAGGAGGCAGTGGGTTTGTGCAGTAGCTGCTTTTCTGTGCTGAGGTCCTGGAGGGAGATTATCAGCAGCTGCTGCCCCTTGGGACTGGTGAGTACTCCTGGGAACTGTGTGTGTGAGTGTGGTGGGGGGCAAACTTGGTTTCACTCTTACCTGGTGTTGTTTTTCAGTTTGTAGTAGTAGTGCAAACAGTCATTGCAATGGTCCGGTCCTGGTCCGTCACAGCCAACCTCACTGCACTCAGGGTCACAGGGACCTTTCCAAAGTAAATTACAACAACACTTGGTAAAAAAGGATTTTAAAGCAGGTCGACTTTTCCTTGAACTTCGTAGAAAATAAGATACTTTTTTTCTTAGGCAGTCAGAGTGTCTTTAAGATGGAAGAATAATGTACTATGTGGTTAGAAGCCCAAATATGAACTCTTGACTTTTTTTGGGGAAAACCTCAATTACCTAAGCATCAAGAATGTAAGTCCTAGTCATGGCTTGGTTTTCAAAGCACATATGGTTGCCTTGTGGGGATATAACAAATATTTCAAAATTGAAGTGAGCAATGACACTGTACAACTGAAAAAAAAAAAAAAACCTGATTACAATTAAATATGCATAATGGTAAAAATGTCAGACTAATTAAAGAAAGAGAGAAGTTAAACTGTTGAAAGAAAAAGAGAAAGTTATTACTCAAAGCCTAGACCAGATTGTCTATCTTGTTCAAGGTCACTGAAGCCACTGAATACCTCTGTGATACTGTAGCTGGAAAGAAACCTCATTATGGTATCTGGCACGAGCTTATCAGCATCTAGTCTTGGATTACAAACCAGGTACTTCAGGCAGAGATAATAGAAGTAAAATTGCATCCTACCCATAGGGCAGCTCAACAAAAGAAAACTAACTACACATAAATTTAAAGAATGCAAGCAAACTTAAAGAATTCCAGATCTGGGTTGATGGTTCTTAATCTCTCTTGCTACATATTCTTTAGTATAGAGCTAGAGAGAATGCACAAGCAGGAAAACAAAATTCCAGAAAGATGGAGCTATTTTGTGATTGATGAAAAGTTTTCTAATGACATTGGGTTAGTTAGGAAGCTCCGTTTTTCCTTCTCCATATTTTGGGATGCTTGGTCTCATCATCTTCAAGTTCTTTCCCATTGGAAATTAATATGATTTTAAAAATAGCGATAAAATACACAAAATGTACAAACAGTAACTCTAGGGTGCCAGAAAAGTTTTGAACCATCCTGATTCTAACCACAAGGAGCTGAGTCTTGGCCTCTCTAAAGTCATTATAGGAGTGTGTTCTACAATTACCTAGTCACATAAAATAGAATGGGGAAAGGAGGAGCAGGGAGAAACTGAATCAGATATCCTCATTTTACAGGTGAGAAAACAGACCTTCCAAGAATTACAAAGGCTTGCCAAGAATCCAATGACTAGCAGAGTGGGATCCAACATAGGTCCTACAACTTAGTCCAGGTCTCATACTTCTTCAGGTAGTAAATCATATGCTAGAGATGATCCTTCAATCTGAATGGAAATGAGTCATTTTGAAAAGCTGCAGACTTGAACTATATTCCTGATTTCCCCATGAGTCATTTTTTTTTTTTAAAGATTTATTTTTATACAAAGCTGGGGAACAGGTATATGACCGAAATACACTGCTGAGGGGAGCAGCGGGCATGACAGCAGAGGTCGGCTGTGCCATGTGGGAATCTCCCTGGCTGGCAGGGATCGAATTCACACTGCAGAGGCTGCGGACAGCTTCACAGGGCTGCGCTCAACCCACTCTGCCACCGGGGAGGCTCTCCCCAAGAGTCATTGGATAGCACTATTTATCTGTCTCTCCAGAGACTTAAAATTGATCTCAAATTTAAATGCCACCATCAGTACAACCTGGGAGAGTTGAACTATCTACAATGGTGCACAAGGAGACGGTGTCTTGGCTGTGTCAGGGTTGACATTTAGTCAGTTACATGTCCCTGCAATTCTATGAAACCATACAGGGATCTGGTTATGATAATGCCATCTGTGACTCTAGACATACTGATTTCTTAATGAAGGTGAAAATCACCACTCCAAAGAAAAGGAGTCATGGGTGGCCCTAAATTTTCAACAGATGATTTCTACAATTAAATGTAAAAATCATTTATTCTTGATATGTGCCAAAGGGCTCTATGTGGCAAGTTTGTGTGCTGTGCTTCTCTTTTAAATTTTAAACTGTCCCAGAGGCACTTCAGCATTTTAGGTTGCAAGATAATAATGAAATAATTCTTTTTTCTCTCATAAGTGCCAATGTGGACATTTTGGAGATGTAATATACAAAAACCACAAAGATGTGTAACTTGAGAATTTGGACATTATCAACATACAAATTGGATACATACCATAAGGTACATACTAATAATTTCTAATTATGCTCCATGTTCATTTAATAATAAGGATTTTGGACATACTTTCTCCTGTCGGAGAAGATGAATTGGTGTGCTCCTTATAACATTATTAATGTTACAAGCTCAAAATAAGACAGACACAATCTTAACTCTGGTTAGTTCAATTGGTCTGAATTATCTAAGCTTATTGATTCTGGAATACTACTTGTTTAGAATAAAAGGAACCATATGCATATTTAAGATATTCTGTGAAGGTGATTAATGGAGCACTTTTTTCTTTAGAATCTAGCGAAAGAATCTCAGAGCTTCAGGGGAAAAAAATCTCATCTAAAGGTACATTAAACTGCTATTTTATAAACAGTTCTCTATTAAGGGAACCTTTGTCATCAAATGTTACATCATGTGGCAGCCAATGCAACAAGACAGGAATGAGAAATAAATTAGGAAGGAGGAAAAAAAAAAGGTGCAGATGATATAGCTATGGACTGCCTCAGAAAAATTACCTCAAGCTTATATTTTAGAGAAGTGCTCAGATATAAATGTGCATAGCCAATGAAGTTCTTACATGCTAGTACACAGAAAATATAGGCTATTTCCACAAAAACAACAAGACCCAAAAATACTAGGAACAGCACATAAAATTTAAATATGTCAGTAAAATGGGATATGGTCTATGTATTGATTGGGATGACTGCATATGGTAAAAAGTTTTTCCCATCAGAACATGTAAATTCGAATTAGTTTTTAAATGGGGACTAGAAAATAACAATGAAAACAGGAGATGGTCAACAGATAGTAAAATATAAACAGTAGAGGTGCTACTGATTATTTGAGCAATAAATCAGAAAAGGTAAGACCGGAAGATACCCTAATATTCCTTAGAAGTATAAGGAAACATCCTTAACTAATAAACGGGTGATAGTTCAATGATGTTCATTTACTTGGAAAATAATTAAAGACAGAACTACTTTTCACACTACAGGTCATAAACCAAAATTAATGGCCAAATATAAAAACCAGCGGTTGCAAAATTCAGCTTTTAAAGGAAGAAATGGAAGAAATGTCTGTAAAAAAACACAAATGCTATTGTCTGAAACAAAACTCTCCAGGTTTTTTTTTTGTCTTGGTCAGAAGAACACACGAAAACCTCCATATTTCAGAAGTGGTAAGTAAGAAAATATTTTCAGTAAATATAAGACAATAAAATGCAGAGTTCTTATAAATAGATAAGAAAATTGCTGCCACTTTGAATATAAAAATGGGTATAAGACTGTAGCATTTAATTCAGAGAAGAACTAGAGAAGAAAATGTTTAGATTTACTCCCATCAAAGCTATAATAATTTAAAAGGGTTCTTTTTTCCTTGCAATGTTGGCAGGAATGAGTACAATAAACACCCACACAGCTGGTCAGTGTGTAGATTGGTACACAGTGTCTGGAAAATAGTGACAAAATGTATCCAAGCCTTAAAACTGATTATTCCCTTTGATGTAGCAATTAGAAGAGAACTTTGTTCTAAAGAAATAAAGAGATACAGACAAAGACTGATAAATAAGATTTAGATTAGCATCACTAAGATGTAAAACTACACACCCTAGATCTTGGACTAAATGTATCACAGTACAATCATAGTATGGACTATCACGTTTTTTAAATGTGTGTTCTAATGATATCTGCTAACAGGGAAATATGCTCATCATATGTCTAATGGAAAATAAAGAATATGTAAACTACACTGTGTGGTTTTAATTTTGTCCAAAAAACATGGGTATCTGAATACAGGGGTATATGTATATACACATGAGTAGTTGGGAGGAGAGCGCAGAGGCTTATCTGTGCATGGTGGGACGGTGCCTTGGCTTGCTGCTAGCCCCCGCCCCACTGGCAGTCAGCTCACCTGCGTACTCTTCTGTGCCGTAGTCATCAGTGGGGTCTTCAACGCGGCTGTAGCGGAAACGTTCCACTTTAGGAAACTCGTTGGTTGGTGAGTATGGCTGCACGGAGGTGCCGTAAAGGACCAGAGACCATTCTTTCAATTTACCTTGGGAAACAAACCACAGCATCATCAGGCATTTTACTCTTTAGCTCTATAGTTTAATTCTTTCTCAGGCAAACGGAAGCAACAGTGGAAGAATTATGGAAAGCAGTCATATGAAGCGTGGTTGCAGATAGAGGGCTAGAAATGCATGTTGCACCATTTGCAGAATTAACCATGTAATAATCATACATTCAGTATTTGGGCATCACTACAGGGTAGGCCTCTGTTGAGGATTTACAGGAAGTCTGAGAAACAGATTACTGGATCAAAGGATGAATTGCAAATAAAGAGTATTGAAGAGAATCCTATAATATTATAGAGGACTTTAAGTTAAAAACATTTGTTGACATTTTCTGACTTGTTTCTCAATAAATAGATCAAAAGTAATACTTTATTGCACCCGATTCCTAAATTAGTCATCTTAAAAGTGCATCCTATATTAATTACCCTATAGTCCTGTGCTGTCCAGTGACAGCAGACATTTGCCAAAGATTGAGTTCCTCAGCCACACAAACCATGTTTCAATGCAAAGTGCACAATAGCATCTGCAGCATGTGTCCAGGGGCCACTGTGGGACAGCACAAAGATAGGCCACTTCTGCCACTGCAGAACGTCTAACTGTACATTGCTGCCATGGTGCATTTTCCAGGCAAGGAGCCTTTGAGACATGAGGCAAGTGTTTTGCCTCTTTTGGATGGCTTGCTCACAGGGGACATTTTGCTTTATTTTAGTTCCTATGTATCCACTTATTTCTTAGCTTTATAAAAACTGAAGTCTTTAATGTATAAGTAGAAAACAAACTACCTCCAGGCCATTAAGTTTAATAAGATTCACATCAAAAAGAAATCACCCATAAGCACAAGGAATTAAGACAAAACTATTAAAAACGTGGGTATAAGCTAGTAGGAAGGCAGGAACCCCTTTGACCTCTTCTTCCTATGGTTTAATGCATGTTACCCAGGTGTGGTCAGGGCTAGGCCTCTGCCATGGTCCAGAGCAGTGAATTTCAGCATGTGAGCTAATTCCTCTATTAGCATCTATAAACTCCATAAAAAAGGCTTATCATTTGTAAGAGCTTACTGTCAAGTTTCATCCTATTCAATGTTTACCTATTCAATGTTTACAACAACTAGTAGTTGTTGTAAACATTGAATAGGATGAAACTTGACAGTACGCGTACTTCAATTCTCATGATGAAAATGAGTGACAGGGGTTGTTAACTTTCCTGTGGGCAGTAAGGTAACTTTCCCAGTGGGCAGACTGATAGTGAAAACAATTCTGGTTCAAGATGAAGACAAAGATCCTGAACTCACCACCTACCATGGACACGATGAATCTATACCTACATTTGGAATAATGTCCTCTAGCAAGAATTCCAAACTGGTTTGAGTGATTTCCTACACACTGGGTGAATGAGAAAAAATATAAATGGAAAATGGATAGGAAAGGGTGAGACACAATCTTACCATAAAGCCAACACCAGACATGGGGATTCACAAGCAGGAGAGACCTCAACAACCTGAGGTTCTCCCTGAGGAGCGAAGGGTTTGAATACCAAATTTGGCACCCCTTTTGGATCTGCACCTGACAGACGAGCCTCCAAAACACCTATCTTAGAAAGCTTAAGGGTTACAAATCCATGAGATCCACAAAGCTAAAGAAAACTGAATGGTTCTTAGCTGTATGCTGACCACTGAGGTGAAGGCCCCCACCCCAAAGGCCCATGGCAGAGGTAGCCCATTCTTTCTGTGCAAGAGGCTTACTCATTTATGTTAAAGTATTGGTCTAAGGGCAGAGATCTATTTTAACACAACTCTAGCGGTCTACTGAAATATTCTGCAAAGATGGAGTTGAGCAGATGCCAGTTTTGTATTTTCTCTCTCTACCTTGCTCCAGCTCACCAGAATCTCCCAGAAAGGAGCATTTTATCTCCTCTGGTACCCCAATTTTTGTGGTTGCTGCACAGAGGTGGTCAGGCCCCAAAGAACTGTGACAAATGTGGAAAGAGTTCAGAACTGGCTACCACCCTCAGGGAACAGGAAGAAGCAACAAATGGAGGCATCTAGTCTTTCTGTGAAACAGGCTTATTAGCTCATCTTCACAGCTGTGGCCTCAGGGGCAGGCTTCTAATTAAACACATAAGGGCCTGCTCTACCCCTCTCCAGAAACCTCAGAGGGCAGATGGGTGCTTACTTAAAGCCTCCCTTTGCCTTGTTTCAGAATAAATTAAAAAAAAAAAATAAAAAAGTAATGACCACCAAAAAACCAAAAACACAAAACTGAAAACCACCAGTGTCTCCTTGAGGGGAGCTTAGACAGCTGCCTAATTCCTGGTTTTTGTGACTGTTACCCAGGGACACCCAGTGATAGCCTGGCTCTGGTGGCCAGCAGGACTGAGTTTCTGGATTCCATGGGACTCTAACAAATGGAGACAGTTTTTGAAAAGCTCACAACTGCAGGGCACAGTGCAGATAGCTGAATAAAGCAGCCTGCAGTTTTTCTGTGAAAGAGACATATTTGTCCTGGAGTTGAAGCATGAGAGACAGGTTTCTGCTTTGGCACATATTTAGACATAGACCTGGTGGAGACAAACTTTAGACTTCCCCTCTACCTCACACCGGGTTGCTGGCACCTTCTAAAAAGAAACTTGTAAACTTGCATAAGTGCCCTGATTTTTGTTACCCACATTGCCCAGCTCTGTGGACCAGTTAGGCTTATACTTGTGGTCCCACAGGGCTGCATGTATTTGCATACTGTAAAGGTTGCTAAAGTTCTGGCTTTCAATAAGCTTGAACCTAGATGCTTCCTGAGATCTTTCCTTTGGGATCCTAAGAGATCTTAGGCCATCATCAACTACTGCAATACACTGAGGATAAAATAGGCTGTTTAGACAATCATGAAGTTTTGAGAAACAACCAGAAGCAACAGCAGGGTTAAACAAAAAGGTTCATCTCCAATATAAGACTATTCAAAACTGGAAGAGTTGGCTGTTCATTGAAGCATTGCTCATAACAGCCAAGATATGGAAACCTCCTAAGTATTCATTGATGGATGTACAGAATGTGGTATGTCTATAATGGAACACTACTGTTATGAAAAGGAATGAAATCTTGCCATTTTTGACAACATGACCTTATGGGTATTATACTAAGTAAAATTAGACAGGGAGAAGCAAATACCATATATTTTCACTTATATGTGTAATCTGAAAACTGAAAGCTGAAAATCAGAGAGACAGGAAACAGGCTGTATGTGCCAAGAGAAGGTAAGACTTGGGGATGCGGGCCTCCCCGGCAGCGCAGCGGTTGAGCGCTGGGTTGCGAAGCTGCCCACGGCCTCTGTGGCGCCGGTTCGATCCCCGGCTGCTCCCCTGCCACCAGAGGAGGGTCCCACATGGCGTGCAGACCTCTCCTGCCGCCCGCTGCTCCCCTCAGCAGTGTACTTCGGTCCTTCTGCCTGCTCTGCTCCCCGCTCTGGCTCTGGTGAATTCTCTCACCCTCCCGCACTTCTGACTGTACCCAGTGCATGTATAAACAAAACAAAACAAAACAAACAAACAAATAAATAAATAAAACATGCCTCTATTAAAAAAAATAAAAGACTTGGGGATGCTAAATGGGTGAGGGGATCAAGAAGTAAAAAATAGCTGTTACAAAGAAAAAGAGTTGTAATGTACAGCATAGGGATAATGATTAATAATATGGTACTGCAAATTTGAAAGATGCTAAGGAAAGATGATAGATTTATTGTGATTATCATTTTTCAATGTATACAAATGTTGCATAATTTTGTTATTAAATACAGTGTAGAGTGGAATATTATTCTGCCTTGAAAAATATCTTTCTATATAAACATAAATGGAACTTTGGAGCATTTTGTTACATAAAATAAGTCAGAGAATAACATATATTGCATGATACCACTTGTATTTAGAATCTATGAAGCAAAAAAAAGAACAAACCAAGTTCATAGATTCAGAGGAAAGACTGGTGGCAGCCAGAAGCAGGGTGGAGGTGGGTAAAATGGTAAAGGGGGTCAAAAGGCACAAACTTCCAATATTTAAAATAATAAGTCTTGGATGCAAAGTTGATTGAACATACAAAACAGTATCATTCACCAGATTAACAAAAAGCAAGAAAAAGCCACATGATCATTTCAACAAACTGAAAATATACTTGAAAAGTTTCAGCATCCATTTATGATAAAATATCTCAATAAAATGATATGACAAACCTATCATACTCAATGGTGAAAAACTGAAAAGCATTTCCCCTAAAATCAGGAACAAGACAAGGACATCCAATCTGTCCACTACTGTTCAACATAGTATTGGAAGTCTGTGCTGGAGAATTAGGTAAGAAAAAGACATTAAAGGAAATGCAAATTGGAAAAGTGAAACTATCAGTATTCATAGATGACATAATAATATACACTGAAAATAAAAAAAAAAGATCTGCAAAAATCTACTAGAAATAAGTGAATACAGAAAAGTGGTCAGGAAATCAATGCACAAAAATCAGTTCCATTTCTATATGCAAACAATGAATTAGAAGAGAAATTTAAAAAGATGTCATTTACAACTGCACCAAAAAGAATGAGATACTTGGGGGGCCTCCCTGGTGGCACAAGGGGTTAAGTTTCAGCACTGTGAAGCTATCAGCAGCCACTGCAGCCCGAGTTCAATCCTGGCCAAGGAGCAAACCTACATGGTGCAGCAGACCTCTCCTGTCTAGCCTGCTGCTCCCCTCAGCAGTGTATTTCAGTAGATATGCCTGTTCTGTTCCTCACTCTGTCTCTGGTGAATTCTCTCACCCCCTGCACCTCTGGTCTGTATCCCAGTACTTGTACGCATACATAAATAAATCTATCTTTAAAAAAAAGGAGAAACTTGGGAGTAAACTTATCAGAGGAGGTGAAGGACCTACCCATTGAAAACTGTAAAATATTGTAAAAGGAAATTAAAGACACAAAAGAAATGGAAGATACCCCATGTTCACAGATTG